TCACAAGATTTGAAGCATGGTTCACACTTGAAGCTTGTAACAATTTGAATGCTTTTTTTCAATAATCCACTGTAACATAATAACACTTGTTTTAATCAAAAACACTAATCATCTAAGTGTTCAAGCACACACTTTTCAGTCATGTGTCTCTTAAAAATGTAACTTATGTTATATGGCCATTGAGAATAAAGTAACTGAATCAAGGTTTATAACACTGAGACTACCCATTCTCAGAATATTATAAGTATTCATTGATTGGGTTTAAAGAAGAACAATTTGACAAGTTCGATGGGTTATTTTTTAGACTGGTCAACTAATGATGCGGAAATCGATTATTCTAACATAAAGATTGTATTAGTGAGTTTTCTCATTTATGGGTTAGTCACAACTATTATTATTATAGGAGATTTGTGAAGGTAGTTGAATTTCATAGTTTACATCACAATTTGATCTTAGACAACTAATAAAAATCAGGAAGCACTGGATAGCTGTGTTATCATAGCTTGATATTCCTAAGCAGTACTCTCTACAATCTGACCAGTAATCGAAATCATGACCTCTACAAACATATTAAAATATGACAACAATCTAAGTCAATTTGCATTATTTTATTTTAATTAAACACAGCAGAAGCTAATTGAGAAGATGGAAATCAAAATAGTCGCATAATGGACAGAGAAAACTGAGATTATTTGAAAATTTGAATAACATAATAAGTGGGTGCATCTTTTTATAGTCAAGTCACCTAAGGTTTCCACATTATGGTATTCGGAACCTCCAAGGATAGTTCAATTCGACGGCCTATACATCAGTGTCTTATTTTAGTAGCGGTCACTAATACTTTCAGTCTAATCTTGTGATACATAGCACAGTGCTTTAACATGGGTGGTAATTGTGCATATGTAAATTATGTTTTAAGATGAAACTTCAATGGGGTCAGGAATGCTGACTCTTAGGGATCTCCTAGTGAAACGAAACAGCTGTCCAGTTCTCCGTGGTTATTGTACAAAATAAGATAGTAACGTTTAAAAAGAAATCACATTTGTTGTTTCGATAAGGTATCATTGATTTCCTCGGTTTTAACAAGCTTTTTGAATATGAAAATAGTACTAACTGAATGTGATTTCCCATTCGTTTGTAAAAAACCAATTTTCGTTCATTTACAATCACTTAATCTGATTAACTGATACAATTACTTCTAATACAGCGAGCTATTGATTGTACCTGGAGTCAAAATAGAATTCAACTTAAGATATATGATGGTGTGAAGTTCACAGATACACGAGTCAGTGTAAGATCACCAAAGTTTTACTATATGAATGTACCCATAGATGAAAATATTGTTTTATGGTTAAAGTCATGGACTAATCTCGGTTGGAAAACCAATCAAAAGATGAAGTGATGGATACATATATATGTTTAGTTTTAATATAGGACTCATCAGTCCCTCCACGGAGACCTCCACTTTTGCATCTAGCGCATTCGGTTCTTAACGTGATTATCTTTGATCAAATCAGGATATCGCGAAACTAATTTCTAATATCACCAGTAGATAACTGTTACATTCTCGAAATGCTTTGGCTTCACCAGTCATGGCCTCTCATTAAATGTCATTCATATAACCTCTTCGAAATTAGTCATTAGTAAGGACATGATTATTGAAACTAAACAGAGATGGTGGAGGTTGTTGAATCGCTTAGTTTACATCAGTAGAACCTTCTCTAGGATGAAACAAACATCTATTACATCCTAGTTTTTAGTAGCTGTCTAACTAACATCTATTCGTAGTGTCAGTTATAAAATTCAATAACCGTCTTAAACGAAAATTCTATTCAACTGATAGAGAACGTTTGTAAAGTTTATATTAGTAGTGTATGCCAAAAAAAGCATAAAATGGAAGATTTTTCAAGGTCATTTTGAAACTTTGAGAATGAATTGGTAATATGCAAATGAAAAACTGGTTATTTGCATAATTTTATTAGGAATTACATTTGTCGAATTGGTAATCCTGACAACCTTATAATGATTTCATGATTGTTTGCTTTTTATTACAGATTTTTCAAACTTTTTTATTTTACGAACTGTTCTTATCTAGACAACCATAGAAAACCTGAAAATACTGGACGGCCATTTCGTCCTATTATGTGACTCCCTAAGAGTGAAGATCCACGAACTCGCAACCAGAAATCAAACCCAGGATATTCGGTCTCGCGTATGATCTCTTAACCTCTATACCACCAAATGGCCATCCAACGGCGTTAATGTCTCATTTGAATGAATTAACGATATCCCACAGCTCTTATCCGTTGCATGTGATGGCTAACTGTTTAATATTGATTTATTTAGGTGGAAATAATATACTAAACTCGACATCAGAAATAATCTCTCAGCAATGAAAAATATCCACAATATCAATAAACTTCTTTAAAACATCCAATACTAATACTAATTACTACATTACTCACGTATAATTATTTATTTAAGCTATAGTACCGGTAATACATCTGATTTGTGAACAGTTATAACCTAACTTACTGGTTTACCTGAAACCCTTCACGCAACAGATCAGAAAGTTTTAAAATGACAATCTCTGATATAATTATAGGCGAAGTGCAATTGAAGACGATCATTATCGGACAATACACTTACTCTTCTGCTCTGAATGATTATTTAGAAAATATCAGTGAGTGATTTAAATTGTCTACGCAAATTTAAATCACTTCATGAAACCTCATATCTAATATTACAATTATTGTTCATAATAATACATTTTGTATCAAGTTAGTTAATTTTGTGGATTGACAGAAGGTGACTAGAATAAAATTAGAAAAAAATATATTTACTTACATAAAAGTACATGGTAGTTGTTATGGTTTTTCTCCCTTTACTCTTTCTCTCTCCTCCTACTCTCTCTCTCTCTTTACCTCTATTTTATCATTTTTCTGAATTCAATCAATATTAATGGTAGTAATAAGAACAGTAAAAATGATTAATAATCATCCACAATGGGAATGATAATCACAATTATCGAAATAGACTATCACGTTTTGCAAGCTGAAATTTGTAAAGAAAAATTGTCACTAACTGATTTCAGTTGATATACCTTTGAAACCAATAAATTACTGGATAGGTGCTATCTTGTTCTAATAACAGACTGTTCATCAATGTGCAATCAATATCTTGCCAAAGTTTGAATATTCAGTCAGTCAGCTACAACGTAGGACCAGGTATATATGTGCATCGGTCCAAGTTGCTAAACCTCATTATTCTTTTTTTAGTAAAACATAAGTATCAGCTAACGAGAGCGTTAATTATCTACCAGATTTTAGTTTGGAAAAGTGTACTCTATAAAAGGTTGCTTAAGTAACTTAATACTCGATACAATATCACTTGACTGAATGGTATACATTTTCAATTTCCTGATCAATTTACAATATTTTTAGAATAAAACAAATAAGTATAGATAATTCAATGAGATAATCTCATTCATTCATGTTTTTCCCTATTATGCTATTAAATATAATTAAAAATTGAACGAATCATGGTAATTTATAAGTAGTTAATGAAAGTGTTATACCTTTTCATTTCGACTGGCAAAAATAACACAACAACTATTTTTTATGATCACTATTATTACCATGACGATTAATGTTGCTTAGCTAATTGTCATACTGTTTAATTTTCATGTATAACTTAATATGTTTATTTATGTGATTTACACTGACTTAACAAATAGATTGATACGGCAACTTGTTGTAACTATCGAAAAGCTGCTACTTGCTATTTGCCATAACAGAAATACACAATTGATCATTATTATTCGATTATAATAAGACAGCTGAGCTAAATTTCTGTTTCTTCCTGTTAGTGAATATTTTAGATTAATTCCATGTTCTATCTGTACATTTAAACATTTATATAGTAACCACCGTTGTATATTAGAAGGAAACCTAAATAGGAACTAGTTGAAGACTATACTGTACAGTCCTATACATATAATCTAGTTTGTGGTATGGCTAGATTTTCGTAGTATCACCAAAAAGTTGACTTCCTACTGTTAACATAATTAAGTTAGTTATTTAGTCAGTCGTAAGCACCGTAGCATCTAACACGTATGTTTCAGTTCAAGTTGCCATTCCATATCAGTGCACAGAAATAAAATATCATGATAGATGTCAGAGTAATGGGACTTATAATAGGAACAATTCTCGTAGAAAAAATCAGATAAACAAGATCATTCCAGAAGTAGGAATTAATTCCTGGAATAAAATGATAAAAAGACAAGTTTATTACTGGATTACGAATTGATTGAACTTGACAACCTGAATAAAATAGTTGCATTACTGTGGCCAGTCTTAGTTTGGAATTACTTCATCGTACACAGCAACACGTTTTCCGTAACTTTCTACCATTACCATAGGTATTTATGAATTGATTTTAAGAACATCGCTTTATTTCCAAAACAGGTAAATATCAATATTTGACTTGGTTGATGAGTATCTTGTTACTTACCATGAATGATAAATTTATAAGACAAGAATAAGTAAACACATAATTTAATTGATAATAATTTCTGTTAAATTCACTTTAAGCAAAGAAACATTCACTGGTAACATCTATAACAATGTGTTATGTCAAAGGGAAACGCTAATATTTAGATAATAACAGTAATAGAATAATGAAAACCATAGGGGAACTTTAAAGAATGACAATTAATGTAAATATTTTGTGAATTCAGTAAAGTATTGACTATCTAATCAGGACTGTACTAAAGATCACAAACAGAAATAACCCATTTGATTAAGATCATGAATAGATCAATGATGATCTAACATTGATCGATCATTGATCTCAATTTTTAGAAAAACAATCTCCAAAACCCCATACCGATAATTGAATAATTCTATTAGTTTGTATCAAGTTCACATATGATCACATTTCTTTACTTAAACACACTAATTTTTATATAACATTATTCAAAACTTTTTAGCATTACTTACTTGTCCAATTGACCATAAACACCCATTGTACCATCTATATTAGCAGCTTTTGCTCCACTTGCCCAATGTAATGTATTCATTTTATAAAAATGGATATTGTCATATATGTAATTTTTATATGAGTAGTATATACATAAATATAAATACTTTTTTTATGATAAGATATCGTTAATTTAATAACATATTTATAAAAATCATTCAAGTTACTTGTGTGATTTCTTTTTTAAATGATAATTAATTATTGTTGTTAGGTAATTCCATTGTAATTGTTCCATTTATCATAGTTTTTAAACTAAATCTATTCACAACTACAATATTGAACGTTATTATTATTGTTATGTTCACGTAATGCAATACATGTTTAGTCGTCAAGCTGAATAAATAATTTCTTTCTAAATAACAAAAAATATTAAATAAAGAGTTTCCAGAAGTAAAATGTTTGTGGAAGATTAGATATTTTAGAAAATAAAAAAAAATTTTTTTCTCTTGGCTTCACTGAATACTTCCTTTATTGTTCATAATAATGAGTAGTACCATTTCAGTAAGAAAAAATATATATAGGCACACTTACAAAATAGAAATGTTGCTAACGTGAATTCAAATGTCCTTGTGTAGGCTAGACATATATGATCCAATGAATCAACACACATACACACATACATACGTACATGTTTATAGATAATATTCACGTGTATGTACGTAGGGATGTTTGTATGTGTGTATTAGGGAATTATTGTATTCTCTTATCATTTTAAATTAACCAATGAGAATGTAGATAATAACTTTCGCTAGAACAGTAGGGCAGATTATGTAATATATACATATGTTTGACAAATGAGAAAATGAATATTAATATGATACTCTTTATTTTATCCATGTGGTAGTCTGATTATATCATCCTTAAATAAACGAGCAAACATTTGAACTGATAAATACATATATATATATACAGGTACAGTATTTCATTCACGAGAGAAAGCCGTGCATAGAGAACAGCTGACAGTTGCATTCCAAGTGTAGACCGGTATTAGACAAAGCTGCTTAATATCAATTTTTTTCTTTATCTTCTAGTGGTTGATTAGATTATGAAGACATTCATATATTACTGGAAGTACAGAATACAATGGAAAGCTTGGATAAAGCTAAACTCTTTCAAGTTTACTTTTCTATCCTATATACACGAACAAATGTAGGTCAAGAAAAAAACAGTGTGAAGCAGTAGGCCTCAACATATACAAGAGAAAAACCAAGACCATCAAATGTAAAGAAGAAAACGTCAACACAATCACACTTGATGGAGAAAATCTGGAACAGGTAGAAATTCTCAAGTATCTGGGTAGTATCATCGATGAACAAGGAGGATCTGATGCAGAAGTAAAGTCGAGGATTAGTAAAGTAAGGGCAGCATTCCTACAATTGAAGAACATATGAAACTCAAAACGACTGTCAATCAATATCAAAGTCAGAATCTTCAATGCAAACGCCGAGACTGTTCTACTGTACGTGATGAAACGTGGAGAACTACCATAACCATAATCGAAGAAGTACACGTATTTATAAACGATTATCTACACAAAATACTCTATATCTGTTGATCGAACACTATCAGCAACAGCTTACTACGGGTGAGAACAAACCAACTTCCAGCTGAGTAGGAATAAGTAAAAGACGTTAGGAGTGGATAGTACACACATTGAGGAAATCGTCAAACTGTATTACGAAGCTAGCGCTAACTTGGAATCTTGAAAAGAAACGAAAAAGAGGAAGATCAAAGAACACACTGCATAGAGAATTGAAGGCAAACATGAAAAGGATGAATAACTACTGGAAACAACCGGAAAGGATAATCCTGATAGGTAATAATTCTCTTAACATCCATGTTATCACCACGAAACCTAGGTCAATTAGGGTTCTCTATCGACTTCATATAGTCGACCAACATAACAAGCTGGTCGATATGATTTGATCTGCACTAAGAAGGACCTGACATACACGATTGCCACCCAGTGATCATTCAATTGTCAACAGATGTATTCACAAATTAATAAAAATAATTCAATCCAGTTCGGTGTTGAATACAACGGTATGATTAACAAAGTATTGTGAATTAAGGGATAAAATCTCCAAAAATTACCGACGAAAGAGTTTTGTGAGAAGCAACAAATAATTTTAATATATTTTCCAAGAACATGGGAAGATAAAACATTTCAGTCTGGTTTCAGTGCTAGTATAAGGTTTTGAAACACACTGAAAACAATGTTGTTTTAGTCAGGATGTTCACGAAGATGATTTCAAAGTCAAATGATCTAGGCCGAACTGTCAAGCAAAACTGAAAATTCTGAAATCATATAAACAGATTACCATAATACAAACTTGTAACTACCTTTAACAAACAATACTGATAACAGTATTTTTAAAATTGTGGATCTAAAAGTGTATATTTCGCATTTCTTATGTAATCTAACTGAAGTTATGGAATGAAAGATGAGATTGCGTCTTTACTCACCATGATTTTCATTTATTAAAACATTCTTTGTATTTCCGTGTAACAATTATTCAATGGTTGTGCACTGTAAATTAACTTCAGCGTTATGTGTAGCAGATGTTCAGTAATAATTCTATGTAAAATTCACCTTTGTATTTTTAATAATTGAATCCATCAGTCGATCTAAGCTAGATCACATTTGAAAACCTGAAATCACTGGATAGTCGTCTCGTCGTAGTATGGCACTGCTTAGTAATGAGCGTCTACGACCCCACATGTGGAACCCGGACCCATGACCTTCGGTCTTACGAGCGAGCACCTAACCTTTAGACCACTGAGCTGGACAGCATCCAACGGTGTTAATGTCCAAATTCAATCAATCTATGTATTTACACTTATTCAGGTTATTTGTGTTGTTTGTTAAACAATCATTAAATTTCAGTAAAGTCGATATAAAAAATGAGTCTATTTGATCTAATTTGTTATTGTATTTTTTGGAGAATGAATAAAATCTCTATCTTTTATCGGCTCTTGTCTTCTTTCCTGTAACGTACAAATCTTAGAATTTTCCTGTCATCTCTTAATAAAACGATTATATCTACCGGGGTTTTGATTGGTATACAATGCTTGTAAATTTAGGACGTAATGAGTTATTCTAGTATGAACTGTTCTATTGTGATCTGAATACTGACAGCTAATGCACAGCAGTTCAGTATGGAAGGAAGGCGAAATATGGTGAAAACTTGATTTTCAAGCACAACAATTTAAAAAAGTACAACTCAGTATGAATAGTAATAAAAACATGATGTTCAAGCATACAGAAAATTGGTGAATTAAAAGTGTTAGCAACCGATCAAAAATGGGTAACGACAATGCGAAAATCTGAATATTGGGAGAAAAGTAAAAACGATTACCGTTACTAGTACGATTTAAGCATTATTGACAAAAATTGAGTATTATTTTAATCTTCCAGCATCTGCTGGGGTCACCGAGTAAATAATGGTAAGGTTAGAAACACTGTATTAGGGAATAATGAAAAATCAGTTGATGAGGTTGTGAATCTTCATCTACTGAGATGGTTTGTTCACGTATTACGCATGCCGAATCACCGAATACCACGGTGCACAATGCTGACTAGTATTAGAGACGGGTGATGGGAAGTTAAGGAGGCCAAACCAAAACGTGGTTTCGATCCATAAGGTCATTAACTTCTGGTTTGAGCCATATTAGTAAATGCAGATTACTTGGTTGGGGTCCGCGCGACTACCTTAACCACTGGTGAGAGATTCTGGGTGACATAACTCGAAATCAGTCATAATGGCTTAGGTGTATACACTCTTTGTCTGCCCTTAAACCGTGAGAATAAAATTGCTTTATACCTTTCTTTCTACGAACTAATTCTTTTCCCTTGTATCATATCCTTATATGAAATCTTTCTTTTATGTATTACTACCACTGAAGTAACTACTTCTATGAATTTGGTGTTCATGTTGTTGTGCTAATGCGATATAGAAACGTGGAACGATGCATATATGTGCCTGATCCTACGTTGTAACTGACTGACTGACTGAGCAATTTTCAAAGGTAGCGCACTCTAGTTATTGAAAATTTGTAAATTATTTACTTAATTATCCTTATGTATAAGTAAAGAAAAAAATAAACTGAGTAACCGACTTAAGCAGGTGTATATATCAGTAAAGAGTACTAATGTTATAAACTGTTGTAAGTACTTCTATCATAGTTATTTAACTCCAGTTATAACACTATAAAACTACATTAACTTCGTACTAGATATAAACCTTATAGAATAAATATTTTCTAAACTCTTTGAAGGTTTAGTTAATTTACTATTTACTATCATTTACTATTATTATTAGCTTTATTCAATATTATATTTTCGGTACAATATAGAATTCTCAGCGCAAAGTATTTCAACAAGTTTCCGTTTCTTTCTTCTTGATCGATCCTGACGATAAATATTGAGTGATCTCCAGCAAATGAACATCTGAATAATATATATTCTTTTTGCTGCATATTGCCAGAGACCACATTATTGCTTAATGGGCTTTTTGTAACTTTGACAACGAAAAGTTGTACACTTTTCAGAAATGCACCAGGATAGGTTATGCGATTAATAGACATAATGATATATTAAAACAAACAAAAATAGATAACTTGTTGAAATATCGAGATGGCAGGAACAGGTAGCTCAGATGCTCAAGCATTATAATTCAAACTTAAGATACAATAGGGATAATGTGAAATTTTAATCAATATAATATTAGTGTTAAATAGTATGACTTGAATAGTAAATAAGAAGTGAGAAATTTATAAGATAACGTTGAATTTCAACGTCTACATCATAGATTGACCTTTATTAGATAACCAATGAAAAACAAAAAAACCTTAGACAATTGCTTCGACCTGGAGTTATACTAATCAGTAACTGGTTACAACCACTCATTAACTGATCGAACATAGAATATTTCAAATCTTACAGTTAGAGCTTAACTTTTAGATCACTGAGTTGGCATCCAATAACTGTTTACATTTTTAGTTGCAATCAGTTCTCAGTCATACTAAGCAATAAATTATTTGATAAGTTTTTATATTTTATCGGCAAGTTGGAAAATTACTTAAGCAGTAGTGTACAGGTTTCTCTGTTTTCCATGTAAATTACTTGACACAAACTACCTGTATTTATGTCATTGAAGGAAATGTATCTCATAAACAATTTAATGACGGTGCGAATAGGAAAACTTTTTTGCAACAATGAATGCAACCATAGAAACATCTGGTAATTTACATTATGCAAAATACGTGTAAAGAGATTCCAACGTCTATCCCTATTTTACTCATAAGGATTTACACATTTCCGATGGT